AATTCCCTCTGCCTCCCCGACCCAAGCAACTCTTATCAAAAAGAAATCATCCACTGTAAAATCAGCACTAGATAGAGGCATGCGCGTTCAGAGCATATTTAGCAAGTGCAATATCTATAGGCCATATCTCCCTAAATAGGAACATGTGCTTTCCCTCACTTAAAATAGTTCCTGGGCAATCTGTGACAGAAATCTCCTGGTCCCCATATACAGAAACATTTAACCAGTTACACACCACATGAAATGTTGGGAAATAAAACCCAACGCTGTTCTTTTCCCGGCTCCTGCACAGAAACGGGATGCAGGATTTATGATGAGACAGCTCTGCCTCAGGAAGGTTTCTCCTCTTAAATCACCCCCTCGGAGCTTGTTCTGCATTTACACTCGCTCCAAGGGAAGCAGGAAGGGAAGTAAGGGAGTATTTAAGATACAGCCCCTTTCTCAGGTCGGACCAAGGGGAAGGGGGCTTGGTTTGCACAGACAGAGTAGGTACTTCAGAGAAGTAAGGATTTTTTTGTCTTTAGTAAGACAATTCCTGTTTTCTGGGGTAACGTCTGTGTGGGAACGAGGTGCAGCTTCACATCAATAAAGAGGACAGGGAAAACAGAGGGGCTGAACACTTCTGAAAATAACAGAGCACTAAGCCACCTTATTAAATCAGCGCAGCTCTGCCAAACACAAGAGGCTAAATCCTCCAAGGGTCAAACAGCACAATAAGCTTCTCGCTTTCCAGCAGCTGCCATGCTTTGCAGCTGAATCATGGTTTCTCCTATACGAATAGATCCACCTAGACCTGCTGGGCACCTCAGATCAGACCCTAGCACCTGCCAGGGATGGACACATCCAATGCACACCGCAGCGGTCACAGCTCACAGGCACTTAAACCAGGGTCCTAATTACACTTTGGCTTCAGAAGGCTCGGAGATGGGAGGTAGCTGCTAACACCTGGGCAGGCAAAGGAAGCTCTGCAGTAAAGATGTGAATCACTTAAAAGCTTATTTATGCAGGTTGGGACTCTGCTGGGGATGCAATTTGAAATCAGCAGCACTGGTCCCAAATTTGAGAAGTTCAGAAATAGGCAATGCTATGGATATATGCTGTAAATAACTAGAAAGGTGGCTATAACACAGCTCCCGAGGTAAGCAGTTCACGGAGAGGAGGGTACACTGCCCAAGCTCAGTCGTGTCACTCAGATGTCAAACACACACCTCCTGGAAAGGGATCACCTGCAAAACTGGAGATGCCATCGCTCACGGCACCAAGGGCTGCACCTTCTGCTCCAGCCATGTTACTTTGCCATCACTCATATCGATGCTGTAGAAACCATCTAAATCATCCAATCATCTGAAACTTACCTAAATTCGATACTTGGAAAAAGCAGGCTGAGACCCTGATTGTCGCCGAGAGGCAGAGCAAGTCCTGATCTCAGCCCTTCAGCAAAACCTCCCAAGCACCGAAACTGATAATCCAGCTGCTGGAGATGTTGATTTTCTGCAAAACCCTGATCCCATAACAAACATTTTTGTGCTAGAGAGCTTCGCCCCCACCCCCACCCCCCACCAAGCTAAAAGCAAAAAGGCAGCATAGCTCAGGTCAACAAGGAGAAAATTTAATTGCAAACTGTTTTTTCCAACTTCGACATTTCTTTCACCTTTTGGACTCCCACCTGCAGCTAAATAAGGGATACTGATAGCTTTTGCAGCAGCAAGGATTTGTCACACAGATGACCAACTGAGATGCCACATGCATCCCCTCTTCTGCTCCAAGAGCAGACTCCAGCTCTCTGCAGCAGAGATGCAGATGGGGAGCAGAAGGCAGCATCTCCCCCAGGACAGGCTCTTAATATTTAATGCGACATCAGAACAGCGCCAAGTGATCCAAGCTCATGCAGAGTTTTCTACAGCCAAGGATTGTCTTAGTTTGAAAGGAAAACACAGAAAAGCTGAAGAGGAAAGTGCTAATTTGTATTTCTAAAGCATGTACTCCGGCAACTCCCTCGCCTGTCTGCTCTTTACACAATATTGATGGTTTGCTCTTTGCAACCAAATCTGCAGCCAGTAGTGTAATGGACAGGGTTTGGTACTTAAATGCCTTAATTAGATATTGAAACAATTAAGACTATTCTCTTCTAACATCCACAGGCTTCAGCACAGATAGAAAATGGGGCAAACCCATCCCATTATGTCTATTGAAGTTGTTTTGGAAGCAAGACAGATGAAAGGACAGCCCAAGTAGGACACTGCATCATAAAGTAGTCATCTAAAGAGATGCCAAAGACAGTGCAACTGTAGAACAATTATGAATCCCTCATAATTGTGTATTATGGCAAAGCGAGCCCCAGGGGAACAGCCACTGCCATGCTGCTGCTCAGACACAGGCTCAAGTCCTCCAGAGGAAAATTCCCACTCGGTACTTTGGCGGCGTTTCCACAGTGGGGATGCCAGAGCCAACTTCCAGAGAAGGGCTGGGGAAGACGAGAGCTGGGTCAGGAGATGACAGAAGACAGCTTGCACTAAAGTTCTGGGGGGACAGATGCAAGGGATGAGCTTGAGCCAATCCTGGTTCTGCCTGTTAACCTTCCAGGCAGGCAAAGACAGAACACAAGGAATGAGAAAAAAAGTTTGATCAAGGAGTAACGTGAACATGTGTCAATAATAGTGCAGATATGCTTACTGGGACAGAGACTGGGAAATTGTAGGTGCTTTGGTAACATGCCATGTCTCAGGTCCCTTTTGTATTGCCAAGAACTCTACGAAAACAACCCCCCTCCCTCCCACTCCCAAGCGCTCTCCAGCTACATCCAGCTTTGGCCAACTTCATGTTTCTTCAAAGAGCGTCCACAGAAAACAGTTCAGCAGCAGTGTCTAAAGCAGCCAGATACAATATGCAAAAGTTTACAGTTTCAGTCTTTTGGTACAGCTGGGGATGAGGGCCTTTGGGGGAGAACTGTTTGACCTACAGTATATGGAAACGTGATCATCTACCATACTTCTTTTCAGAGCATCCCAGTTCACGTGGGTCGTCAGGAAGTGTGTATCACATCCCACAGCCGTTGGGCTCATCTTGAAGCCTTTCACCAGATGGCAGCTCTGAAGCAAGCCAGCTGAATTCATTTACTCCATCCCCAACCTCTCGCAGTAATGTGCTGATGCATATCCAAGTAGAGCTTGACATTTATTAATAGCTTCAAACGTTGACACCAGGGAATTCGGAGATTGTTGCTAGTGAAGTTGTCAGATTTGCTTCCTAAGCAATCTAGAAAGTGCTATGCTGCCTGTTCAGCAGTCCATGTTTTCATCAACTTTCCTTAATTTACATGGAGAAACACATCTATTTCCATACACAGCATGTCAATAGTATTTCTGAAAGCAAAAAATAAGTCTCAGACCAACAAAACTATTCAGGTATAAATCCAGTTTTAATTGTCAAGCTAACTTCTAGCTCCTACATTCAATGCAAGGATCAAGAACTACAACTCTGGGAGCAGAAGTTTATTCTCTCTCCAGTCTCTGATCGTTTTGGCAGCTGTCAAAAGGTAACTTCCAAAATCCACTTGTTTCAGAAGCTTTTTACTACCTTGTGGTTCCAGGTGAACGTCACGGACTCTTAATAGCAATCAACATCTTTCAAACCCAGTTCTTTGGCAAGTTATACATAGCATTGTGCGTATATAAAGAGCTTATAATAAAACTTCTTTTACATTCTAATTGTCTTAACCTTCACAGAAGTATTAAAGTGCTCAATTGACTCTGAACAAACTCTCCTTCCCTAGTTAGCCTACTTCCTGGAAACGCCTGCAATTAAGTCAGCAAAAACCAGAAGCAAACAAGAAGAGAAAAGGTTTTTGTATGAAAAAAAATCCTCTGCAGGATCATTACAACCCCTCATGAGATAAGAGGCCTTGAGACTCACATCTCCCTTCTACCCATATATTGAGACACGGCTCCAAATACTCAACCAGTCTAAGCCAGCACAAATTCTTTTCCCGATTTATGCTGATTTCCCATCAGTTGATTCTTTGGCCCTTAACTTCTGTACAAAGAAAACCCTGCAAAACAGAATCCTATTGATGCGACAAAGAAAATAACGACACTGGAGTCATACTGGTAAAGCAGCAGCAGAAGAAGATACAAACAAGAGTTGTGATGGATAGTTACACACCGCACACCCGACCCTTCCCCCAAGGTATCTGGTTTTTAAGTTATTTCAATTAGCAATATTTGACACTATCTGAAACGGATACTTTCAAAGAGACTTTAAACGGGGATATTTTTGGTCCTTCTAAGTGGGGAGGTAGAGGGTACATCCACAAAACTATTTCCTCTGGCAAGACCTGCATGCCTGTTCACCCCACTGTGCCCAGTGTTGGAGAAAGTTTCACCCAGGGCTTCTGTTCTTCTTCAAAGAGACCAGAACCACATTGCCTTCGGCACATCCTCTCCTTCCTCCACCCACAGCACCCACAATATGATTTAAACCATCCCACAGGGTGACTTCTTCCTGCCAAGAGCCGAGACACCCGAAACGCAACCCTAGGACACGTGTGTTTAACAGCTTACTCAACCGGAGGATGACACTTCTGAATCCAGTTTTGGTTAAATCTTTTGACATCCGTGGGCAAAGCGCATTATTCAAGCATCATCAGGCCTCTGCACTCCCTGTCTTACAACAGGTACTGAACTGTTTGCTGTCACCTGCTCTTTTTCTGTTGACTGAAGATCAGACATACTTTTACCCCCTCTGCCTTTGCACTGCCCAAAACCCTGTTTGCTGACTGTCTGATGTTTCTACATGTAGAACTTGGTAACAGCTATTAGTGATCTCATCATAGAAATGACTCAAAAGCCAGGAAATCTTGTTGAAGGTGGTCAGAAACCATGCACAGATTTATACCTGCTGTCACACCACTTATCAGACATGGCACGAGTTACCCCTGCTGCCTCCATGGCTGACAGAGCCAACCGCGTGGTATTACCTGCTTGGCCGGACTGGGGGGGGGGCGCAACGTGAAGGTCATGCTTTCAAGGTTTCATGGTCACACGATGTTGTTTTGCTTACTTAAGCTGAGGGCTTTCCCCTGCGATTGCTCGAGGATCTATAAGCCATGGCCACTTTTTTGGGAACACTCTTACTGCTCTCCTCCAAGTATCAATACAAAGCTGAAGGGTTTCATAAGAAAATAAAAATTCAGTTTTTCATACACATTTTAGAGCTGTAGGCAGCTACCTTAAGATGAAATACCATCTGATATTTAGAACAAATACACCAGATCTTCAGTGGCTTGGGTCTGGCTTGGTTTCAGCATGGGAGCTTTTTACCCAGTGCCTTCCTCCCTCATTACAGAGCTGGTCTTCCTCATCATGCAGAGGAACACCCAAGCAGTAGGGCATGTGCTGATAAAAACCCTGCGCCATTTACTGGGCAAGCAATTGGTAAGAAACACTTCTCTGCTAATAATATATTTGCATTTCATTTTATATGACTTTTCTTCCCTCATTTCTACTGTTTTAAAAGTTCGTTATCTTCAGAAGTCCACATTTTTCATAACACTTTACCTGTGATCTGTAGTGTGCAGGAAAGGGCAAGCACTGAACTAAAGGGCAGCTTACTTCACAGTACTCCAAATAAGAAAACTGACCATAGTACGAGCAAAATTAAATAAACTGAAATATAAAAGACAGCAGAAGTTAGATTCATCCAGAAATATAATATAACATCTGGGAATGGGGAAAACTAGAGATTAGCTACAAAACAGAAACAATGAAATGACCAACAAATACTGGATTAAGTGAAAAGAGGAAAACTTTCATTGCATGCTTTACATAAAATGCAAAATTCACACGCTGGAGCCTCAAGACAGAATGATGAAGGTCTCAAGCCATGGGAAGAAGAAAGCAAAAGAACATCTTGAATAAAGCAAAACATGAACAAAACCAGTAACTGAGCAGCTTCAAAAAGAAAAAAAGTGACCATATCTCAAACGAGAAAAAGCAGCACTGAAGCAGAGAACAGGTATATGGTCAAGACACCACAGGTAACACTGACTGCACAAAAACACTTGATATTTTGAAAGAATCAGGCCTATTTGTATATCTATGCAAAAATATATACACAAATCCATATGTATATATGTACACATAGGCACTACTGTACATATGTATATGCAATCATCAACACAACCGCCCTTCGACACGTTTCAGCATCTGACTCTGGGTGCAAGCAAGAATGTTGCAGTTGTGCAAAACTACACTTCTGTGTTTGATTACCAAGAAGCAATGGTAGAAAGATCCAAAATAATTCCCAAATAGCTTAGACCCAGATGCAGTTTCATCAACATCGCCACGTGAGCCCAACCTCTGAACATTTCCAGCTCATTTGTCAGAATTAAATATTCATCCAAAGTGGTGGATTTTATCAGTACAGATTACACCTGCTTCCAGCTGAAGAGATGGCCAAACATCAATCCTGACAATCCTTGGTTTAGTCCGAGGCCATCCCACCTGGAATACCAGTTTGGGAATACTGGATGCACAGGAAATTTAATTCCAAGGCCAGAACGGGACTGTCATTCTGCAAAAGAAGGGTCAGTTGCTGTCCTTACTGTGTTTTGGAAGAAAGGGACGTGGTGCATAAAACAGAGATCCCCCCCGCCCTCAAACAAGGGAGCACATAACCACTCTGAGAACGCACGCTCCAACCGTATGAATGTGTTGATCTTCGGGGTTTCCAGTTTGGGGATGTGGAAAGTAGCATTTTCCATAAAGCTTGCTTGCCTCACAGCTCCAAAGAGCATCGGCCTCCCAAGTCCAAGGCTGTTTCAACACTCAGTTGGTCTTTGATACGTGTGCATTACCAACGCCATGTTAGAGCAGAAAGAAAGTGGTGAAAGAAAGAACTGCAAACAGATTGTTCTACGCCTCGGCCAAGCCGCTTTCCAACTCCAAACGAGCTGTCCTCGCTGCTCCGTGCACGGAGGACCCCGTTTAATGCTCTGCATCCATAGCATCCAAGTACTTGGCTTCGATGATCCTAGGGAGCAGGTTATACCTAAGATTGAACCAGAGAGATAGAATTAGTGCTTGTTTATAATCATGTAACATTTTGTTGTCTGTCCCAAGGCTCTCAGCTGAGTTTGCCCGTGGCCATGCATATAACTGATTCACCCAGCTGAAGGGAAGATGAAGTGGGGGAGAGTAAAAACAACTGATCCTCCAAGTAAATGCAGCATTTATAGGAATAAGTGAGGAGCTGCTCCTCGAAGAAGCCTCCTCGTTTCAGTTGAAGAGGAAAGAGAACATCTTCATCCTCACAGGAGAAAAGTCGCTATTCAAGAGCGCTCTGTCACCACAAACCTTCAAGGTGACAAAAATGTACCAGTCTCACCCAACCCACAGTATGCTGCTGGTTTGGGCTGGGGAGGCAGACAGTAGCTTCCTGCTGCTTCCAGTTTGCTGGTGGATGGGTTCCTTTGCCAAGAATCATCATTAATTTCTAATTTCTACTTTCTTCACCACTTTCCCTATAGTAGGAATGTTGACCAAAGACCTGCACACAAGGGTTATTTGTCTTGCCATTCCTCAGTTTTCCAAATAGCCCAGGTCACTCCTTTCAGCTCTCACCACAGAGAAGCTTTACTAGACAACCCAGAAGCTTTAGTCTTTAGAGAGGCACCAAATCTATCAGCAAGACTCAACACTGTGGCAAGAGGCTAAGAAGGGCTGTGACATTCATTCCTCCAGCTGCTGGTAAGACTCTATCCCTACCCTGGGTCTGGATTCTCCATTGGATCATGGAGACAGCGATTCCCTTACTTTTGGGAATGTGATTTTTTTTTTTTTTTTTTTTTTTTTTTTTTTT